ACATTGTGTTTAATAAACTAAATTACCATTTATTGCATAAGTACTACATTATATATACTACTTTCGCGAATTTAGCTTATCATAATATACCGTTTATAACTATTTATATGCAAAATTTTATATGAAAAATAGTACCAAATTTCGTACTACTTCGCAAAGCGGGCTTTTTTTCTTCCCGTTTCTCTCGTGCTTCCATATTACAACCTTTTGTAAGGGAGCTGTCGACATGAGCTGTCACTACGTACAACACCTTGTATAATTCCACCATGGGTTGAGACCAGATTCAATAACAGAAAGGTTTTGTAATAAAGCAGTCTTCTCGCTCCCACACATAAAATCGGCACCTTTACTTGTGCAAAATGTTGCTTACTCTATAGTTTCTAGTGATATTAGTAGTAAAACCAAAAATTCTTCTCATACTCATGATACAAAAAAGAAGGTAGTTTCATTACTACTATTTTTTGATTATAAAGCAGAATTTTGACATTTCTCCAGATGTAAACATAAAGCATAGCTTTGCCACATTGAAATTTTTCGATAGGGGAGATTTTCTTTTAAATATTAAGGAGTAAAATTTACATACAAACAATAGTAAGTTGATGTGTTCAATAATCAAATTTGAACGCTTTTCTCCAGCGTTTAAAAGATCCTTTGAGTAATATCGATGTGAAGTGATGAAGAAATAAAATAAAATCTAGTTTTGAATTATTTATTTATTAAAAAGCTGTTTTTCATTTTATTTTAAACAAAATAAATAAATTTACATAACAAAACTCTTTTTTTTTATAGTCCGAAGAAGATGTATTGTTATTGTATTGTATTGGCCAAGCTGCACTTAACGCACTACTTCCTTCCAGACTCTGAGTGCCAGTTCAATCGGGAGTACCTCTTATTATGCGTTATCGCGCATATCGAAGACAAATTTCCTCTTCATTTTGTAAATATTTTTTTACAATAAATAAATGATTATTGAGGACTAGGTATGGCAGCACGAAATGTCACAATCTGCATAATTGTCAGGCAGTTAATATGGCGCCCGAAAAGTGACAATGAAACTACCTTCTTTTTTGTATCATGTTCATACTAAATATTCGTTGGCGTCACCTTTGTTTGCGTAATTTTCTAGAACAAGTGTAGAAAAGCGACCGTTTAGCTATAAAATAACCAAAAATGCCGATTGATAGAACTTTTTGCGCTGATTTGAACGATACCAAATTTATTTGGCGCAGGTAAAAAATAAAGAAGATATAAGAGGTTAATTTGTATTTTTTATTATCACCAAATTGTTGAAACCCAAAAGTAGATCATGATAAAATACGTAATATCGAATTAAAGATAATAACTTGTACTTTCTAAATAATATACATTTCTTTACCATTAATTATGCAGTTTTTTCAAAAAAGGTTATTTCATGAAAAAATAACATTTGTTCGTTTTTTAGTGGTTTCGGTTTAAAAATACAAAAAGCTATAAATTATGTACATCAGCTGAAGAACAAATTAATTATCTTTATGGTGACGTCATTCGTTTTTTAATCGGTTATAGAGTTCATAAGGTATTAATATTTAAAATATCTAAAAACTGAACTTTAACCTTTTAGAACGTCTTAATTTTTTACTTGCGCTAAATCATTTTGGCATGGTTGAAATGAGCATAAAAAGTTCTATTGATCTGCATCAAAATGGATATTTTTATGTATTGTTTAGTATTTCCATTAAAACACCAAATATATTGCAAATTCGCATAGAATTAATAATACACATTTTACTTCTAATTGTATACCTTGCGTACTTTTTGTATTACCATTCTACTACCGTTTCCGCAAAATGCGATCACATTCTTCCCCTTTCTCCTACTTCCAAAATACAAATCTAGATAAAGGAGTGTAAAATTTTAGCTGTCACAAATTACACAACCTTGTATTATTGAATCATGGGTTGACACCTAGGTTACCAGGGTTACCTTGCGGTAATAAATTAATAGTTTCTTTTCAAATTGAAAATTGATCTTTTGGCCGCAGAAAGTGCTTATTTCAGCGATAGTGTTATGGTATATTTGTTTCATATTTAGAACGTATATTACTTAAATGGGAAGAAATAACTCCTTAAACAAATTAGCCGTTAGGGGGTGCGGGCCGATTTTACTTCTTTTTTTTATTAACCATTAATAAAAGCTTGTTTTTGGAAATTTCTTTTTATATTACTTGTTTCTCAATTTTCCTACATTGTAAAAGAGTTTTTCACACAAAACATCGAGTTAGATACTCTTTTTATCGAAGTCTTAAAGTGAAAGTACATAGCGTCCATTGCGTCGCCGTCACCGTCACCGGCAGTTGTCAAAAAAGCTGATTCGGTGTATTTGTATGAAGTTACTTGAACAAGCTGACGGTGACGGTGCCGCACAAATTAACTCAACTCTCAATTTTGCTTGTGCGATTGCGTCAAATGACAACTATTCAGTGTTTTGTTTACATGTTTGAAAGTAAATTTTTCCAATTTGTGAAAACTGTAATATTTATGGATAAACGAAATCCAAAAAATAATGGAGGAAAACCTAATAGAGAAAGGAAAAAGTAAAATGAAAATTTTCCAAAGAGTATCAGCGAGTTAATGATTTTTTCGGGCGCAATGTCAAACGAATTGTGTGTAACTTGACGCATAAGCATCGTTGAAGGTGATGGTGACGGTGGCGGTGACGCTGTCGCAATGGATGGTATGTACTTTCACTTTTAGCCTTTCAAATATGTCATTTTGTTTTTTTCAATGCCAAACTTAAACGAGGCAACAGAGAATATATTATGTATGATACAAAATTATTCTGACGACATCGTGCGTGTTTCGACGAAGTCGTCTGAATTCGTTAGAACAAAATTTCGTCAGAATACCCATCCATAAGGTGCATTCTTTTGCAACCGAGCTACAAAAAAAAATCGCTTAAATGACGAAATACACGCAAAGCAACAACACAAACTCGGCTATTTATCCGAGTTCAGCCAGGTCGGTTAAAAAATACGCGACCTGAAGCATAGAGTTGTTAAGTGAAAAAACTGCTCTATTGTGAATTGTTAATGGGGAAGTGGAGAGGGAAATTTTTGTTTCCTTATATACGTGACTTATATTTTAAATAATTATATACATATATTACGCAAATACCTCGCATAATTACTCATTATACCTTTCATGAGCATGAAATGGTATTATAACTTTGGTCCGATGTTTGTAAGTACCAGAATAAGAAGAGATAGACCCACTAAAATGTATACTTAAATGATCAGAACGGCGAGCTGAGTCGATTTAGCCATGTCCGTCTGTCTGTCTGTCTGTCTGTCCGTCTGTTTGTATGCAATCTAGTCTCTCAGTTTTCGAGATATCCGGATCAAATTTGGTAGGTGGGTGTATTTTTATAATGTATTAATAATTTGTCGGAACCGGAAGAATCGGACCACTATAACATATAGCTCCCATACAACTGATTGTTCAGATATGAGATTTTTTGTTATAACTTCTCCATTTATGCAGCTAGGAACATGAAATTTTGCAATACTTCCACCCATTATCAACAGAAAACTTAGAGTGAAAATTACATAGATGGGGTCACTATAACATATAGCTCTCATACAACTGATTGTTCAGATATAAGATTTTTCGTTATAACTCCTCCATTTAAGTAGCTAGACACATGAAATTTTGCACTGTTGTCACTTATTATCAAACGAATACTTTCAGTGAAAATAGCAATGATCGAGTCACTACAACCTATATCCACCATACTGATTGTTCAGATATGAGATTTTTTGCCATACCTTCTTCATTTATGCAGCTAGGAACATCAAAATTCGCACCGTTTCCACTCATTATTAACAGAATACTTACAGTGAAAATAACAAAGATCGGGTCACTTTTACATATAGCTCCAATACAACTGATTGTTCAGATATGCGATTTTTTGTTATAACTACTCCATCTATGTAGCTAGAAACATGAAATTTCGCGCTATTTTCACTCATTATCAACAGAAGGATTACAGTAAAATTAACAAAGATCGGGTCACTATAACCTGTTTATTGCCTCCATACAATTGATTGTTCAGATATGGGGTTTTACTGTAAAACTCCTTTATTTGGACAGCTAAAACCGATAAGTTTCGTAAGCTAGTTTTGAAATAATAATACAAAGTCTACTGAGAAAATCGTCAAAATCTATGCTGTATAATCTTAATCTCTTGTACCACTGATTGCTCAGATACCAGTTTTTGCGATATATGTATCTCCCATTAAATTGTGTTACCGGTTTACGTACCGATCACACAGCAGTGAAAATCACTTAGATTAGTGCTATATAAGGTATATCTTCCATACCTCTGATTGTTTAGCTAGAATTTGTTATATATGTATCTCCTCTATCTATGTCTGCTGTGAATATATACATTTTTTTCAAATGCAGTAATCTGTTAACGTAAAATTTTCAGATGCTCATGAAAGGTAATGAGCCTTCGGCATAGCCGAAGACAGCGCTGCTCTTACTTGTTTTAATTGGTTTTTGTATCTAAATCCCGTTAAACTAGTCACATTATTCTTGCCAGCTACCAACAGAGTTGCTTAAGTAGCTAAAAGGAAATTTTACTCGAGTTAAGCGTTCTTTTGTCCCTCGCTTACAAAAAAATGCACATATAGTAACCGTAGCATAAATTTCGTTTTTAGAGTGGAGAGATAACTCACGTTCGGCAGTTAATTCTCTATTTAAAAACAAGCCTAAGGGCCGATTTAATGATTTAACTATATTTTAAAATGATTTAACTATACTTTAAAATAGATAAACTTAACTATAGAAATTTCTATGAAAGATATGTCTGTAGTTACGTTTAACTAATGAAACAACTATACTTATATAAAAAAGATAAGTAAACGGCCCTAAGAGTAATAACGGCATCAAATGCTCGACACCTTAAAATATTTCAAATAAAAACCTTACTGCAACTGATAAAAATCTCATCTTCTGCAGATGGCATCATCGTTTTGGACGAGGAATATGTTCGGCAGAACCGCAAAGTTTTCATCCAACTCATCTGTAACTTTCGTTATGGACGTGAAGATGACGAGATGATCGGCTTGCGCTTCCAAAAGGAGCTAACACTCGTCTCACAGCAAGTGCATCCACAGCAAAAGGTTGACATACAATTGACAAAAATGCAAGAGCGTTTGCTGAAGAAACTCGGTTCCAATGCTTTCCCATTCGTTATGGAGTTACCTTCCAGTTCACCAGCTTCGGTGGTCTTGCAGCAGAAGGCCAATGATGAAACGCAGCCTTGTGGTGTACAATACTTTGTGAAGGTCTTCACAGGCGACAGTGACTGTGATCGCTCCCACCGTCGCAGCACCATCAATTTAGGTATACGTAAGGTGCAATATGCACCCACTAAGCAAGGAATACAGCCATGCACAGTGGTGCGCAAAGATTTCCTACTCTCACCCGGTGAGCTGGAGCTTGAAGTTACGCTCGATAAGCAGCTATATCATCACAGCGAGAAAATTGCGGTGAACATCTGTGTGCGCAACAACTCAAATAAGGTGGTGAAGAAGATCAAGGCTATGGTGCAGCAAGGCGTCGATGTTGTACTCTTCCAAAATGGACAATTCCGCAACACGATTGCATTTGTAGAAACTAGTGAGGGTTGCCCGTTAAATCCAGGCTCGAGCTTGCAAAAGGTTATGTATTTGGTGCCAACTTTGGCTGCGAATTGTGATCGAGCTGGTATTGCCGTCGAGGGTGACATCAAACGCAAAGAAACTTCACTGGCATCCACAACACTGTAAGTTTGCAGACAATGACCTCCAAAGTATACGCAGATGTTTCAAGTATACAATTTTCATTTCAGCATTGCCAGTCAGGATGCTCGCGACGCTTTCGGAATCATTGTTTCATATGCCGTTAAGGTTAAGCTATTCTTGGGTGCTTTGGGAGGTGAACTATGTGCCGAATTGCCTTTTATTCTAATGCACGCAAAGGTAATTAAAAGGACATTTGCCATTGATTTGGTCGAAAGTCATAGATAACTTGAACAATGGCTTGCTACTTAGTATAACCCAGAAACAGTTTTACCCGCTTTTATTAGCTTAGTACATCGATTTATTTGTGCCACTGACGTCCCTAATGTAAATAACGGAATTATTCAACGTAATTGTCGCCAAATTCAAATAGTTTGGTAAATGATATCAGCTGAAATTAAGAACAGTAACATGTAATGATTATGGTGAGGTGTGGGTGCTGCTAAAAACGGGGATATACTTTGGAGAGGTTAGTCACGTCTCGACCTCTCATCCTCACCTGTACTCAGTTGAAGGACCACGACAGGGGGAATCCTCTCGTGCCTCAGCTATTGCGGTATGGGGTGGGTTTTTTTGCCACGCTTCAACCGGAAACACATAAACTTTAGTTTAAAGGATTCCTATCTGAATCTAATGGGGAGACAAACCCCACGAACTCAATAAAACCAAAACAAAAGTTTAGGAAATGAACGTAAAAGTTAAAAACAAACAAAGGCGTTGAGTTCTCATTCATGCGGAACTGCTTAGAAGCAGGCTAGGCCTAGGTTGTTAGTCGACGCCCGCATTCTGTACCCATAATTTTCGATAGGATAGTTTGACGAAGATCCCTTGTAACAATTACTCCTACCTTCATGTCATCATGTTATAAAATTCATAATTTATTGAAAAAACTTCATAGTGGTCTCAAATTTTAGAAAAAAAAAACAATTTAAATGATTAGGCTTAAATACTAAACTTGGAACTATGCTCTAATATTCTTATTTCAATGTATTTATGTAATGTTTGTTACTTTATTTTACATAACTTTTGTTCTCTATTTCTATTTTCCTACAAGGCGGCTGTTTTTTTAGCATTCAATTCTCACATATTAGTGATAAAAAAAGACATTAATCACGATCGCTAGTTTTCGTGTTACTGGTATATATAGAATCAGAAGCAGAAGTTTTACATTTACTCAGCTGATCGCTAAACAAGATCAAAGAGAGTACATAGCAAAAGTAAAGTTATTGTTGTCAATTGTTAAATTTGGTTTTCTTTTTAGTTATTCTCAACTTAAAAAAACTGGTTTTGGATAGCTGGAGTTTGTTTTTTTCTTAATTTTGGGTCTTTAATTTTAATGTTTGCTACATAAGCGGTTACCAGACAGACAGTAGTACACACATACATATGTATGTATAAGGAATGCGCTTACAAATCTACAGTATCGTGTACATATGAGGATGCACACGCAGACGCAGAGGCATATATGTAACTGTTAACAAGACTTTAACTTGTTTTATTTTATTCATTTTAGTGCAGTTATGATAAAATTTTCTTGCTAAAAAATCTTTTAATACGCTTGTTTTTAAAAAATATTTTTTTTTACATTATTTTATTTTGAAATTTTTAGTTTTATTTTACATAACCAGGACATAATATTTTTATTAAGAGTTGACTCACAATTTATGAGCATAGCACATTTAATATAAGCGGCGTAAATCTTTTCGATCATATGCTTAGGCTGAGCAAAACACGTTGAGCTAAGGTAGCGAAAAAATTGTACGAAGGAAAAAATGGCGGAAAGTTGGCAACTGTTGAACTGAGCGGAACTACTCAACTGTGAGTTTCTAGGACAAACAGTCTACGGTTAGACAATATGAACGCGCCCTATGTGCCACGAATTAGGAGCATAATCAGAAACAAAGCGGTGTGTTATTTAATTTAAGCATTCAGATCAAGTTCAAACCACACACCCGGTAGGTGCTCTACAGAAATTCGTATAGAAATATCCCAAGGTTCACAGCAGATTTATTCAAACTAATTTCCGATATTATATCTTACCAAGGAATTCACAATAGAATCTATCATACCACTGCCTAAAACTATCCTACATAGTTGGGCCGGCAAATTACGCTCTGCTATCACTATCAGTAGTGAATACGCTGTAAAGAAGCTGTTAAGCAGGGATCGCACGATTTGTGCATTAGTACAGATTTGTACATTTTGGCAGTCACAGAAATAATGAGTTTTGCTCAATAACAACTTTCAAACAGCACCACTCTGTAAATGTACAAATCTTGTGATCCCTGCATTAGATGAAGATAAACATGCACCCCTATTCTGCAACTCTTTCGTATTCGGATTTTGCTACGAATCGTAGAAATAGTATGCTGCAATCCGAATCGTATTTTCGAACTTTCGAAATTCGTAACAATGGCATGCCTAAAAACGAACGAGTAAGAAATTGACAGCTTTTCTGCGTAATTTTGTACGAAAACAATCCTAAGATAAAATATGTAAATCGGCGTGTGTTTGGAGGAAATATTAGTGGTGTTCCTTTAAACAGACAAATTTGCCTTTCGTATATATGGGCGTATATTTTTTTCCACTGATTTATACATATGAACGAACAAAAAAGAATGTTTGTTGCCCCTCATCGAGAAACTTGTGTCCGGTTTCGTTATTTGTACAATGATTTTCGGTTGTTGTGTCCAAACGCATAATCCGAATCTAAAAACGATAACATGTACGTGTAACCAAAGCATTAAACTTTAATTTAAAATAAATGGTTGAAATCTCCGAGCAATAGTTTATTAATAAATTCGGTTTGTACTATGCACTTTTTTGTAAATTTCGATGTGGGTTCTGTGCGAAAATACTGCGGATGGCGTAACCGGAGTTATATGCACAAGAAATGTTGTATGCCTTTGATATGCGGAAGCGCCTCTTCTCCGGCAACACAAAAAAAGGTTAATTATACTAAGTAAGTGCTATAATCCCTAAGTGCGGTCGAAGGCGGAAGCAAGCGCAATAGGTGGTGGTGGACCCAACAAAGTGCATGTTTTCAATGGTTTGGAAGAAACTGTTATTGTATTAACTGGATTGAGAACCAGTTTTCAGGCATAGGAGGTTGTGGTTGAACAATTCAACCAGAAGTTGACATAGATGCGTCTATGGTTACTATGCCCGACAGCTCCGCATATCTTTGTGAATTCACTTCCATAGCGCGTTCTTACTCTGCTGCTATAAATGCAAATGCAATAAAATTCATCGTTTCCTTCACAATATATGTAAAATCAAACATACCATAAATAAGCACTTGATGAATGTTTTTTTAATTCCTTGTCACTTTGTTTTCCTGTATTCATGGTAATGCTGCACAGGTTTCTGCAAGGGTTGCAGCATGTCGATCTTTCGTTATACTAAATGCGATAGCAAGAACGCTCTTCGAAAACATATGTTTAAAAGCAGTAAAGCAGAATACTATACTATTGGAATATTCATAAAAATAATTTTGGCACGCACCTAAGCCTGTCCGAAAAAACGGGCACGTTACTTATGGAACGATGCTCTCAAGTTTACAGTAACTGGGACTTGCTGTTGATTTTTGGCATTTTTTTGTTGATGTCAGTAAAAGCTCAGTTATGCAAGACTTAGACTTGACTTGACTTGAAAATTGTATATCTGACAAATGAGCAGCGCCTGTATGTAGTTACCCAAAAAACCAACTTCACTTAGAAACTTGGAGAACAATATACTTTTGATTTCCAAGTTAAATTTCTAAGTGCAAAGTGAGCCGTGAGAGAATCATGATGCCATTTCATTTTTTTTCATAAAATCCCTTAATATAATTTGTTGTGTAAATGTAATCCATCAGGCAATCGAAAAACAAACTTTCAAATAAAGACAGAAAATTAATCAAAAACAATCACAATTTCAAACCAGTGTTGCCATTTTGGTGCTTTTCGAGCTAGATTTAGCTCTTTATTTTTCCATTTAGCTCCGAAAATTGGGTTTTAGCTCTTAGCTCTTTTTTGAGCTCTTTTCAAATTTATCTAGCATTTTTTTTAGCTCCACCAAGTTTTAGATGTTTTGGTGTATATAAACCGAAACTAAAGCGTTGATAAAATGGAAAATTTCGCGAAGCAGTGTATCCACCATAAACTCTTGGATCTAGGTTAAAGAATTCAAAAATTAGTTAGAAGAAAATCCTTTTTCTGATAGCGCGGATTTTGTTTTACCTTACTAATTTTACCTTTAAGGAGAGCTGGAAGTAAAACTCTCCAGAAAAATTATGCGAAAATGATTAAATTCAAATATTGCCATAGCAACGAATTGGAAATATATGCACCTTATTTTGGTTTTAAAAGATTTTTACAGCACTTAAACTTATAAAATTCGTTGTTTTTATTAGACTTGCCGAACACGTAAAAAAACCTTACGTCAATAAATGCTCAAGCTTCAAAAAAAAATTGTAGCTCTTCATTTTAGCTACTATTAGTATTATTTAGCTCTTTTTAGCTCTTTTTTTCGACCGTTTTAGCTCTAAATTTGCTCTGGCAACACTGTTTCAAACGCGTAAATACATTTATTTTAATAGTAATTTTGTAGCAATTTTGGTGTAAAACCAAACTAAACGTTTTCAATTTACGTGTACATTAGGGTGGGTAAAAAAAATAAACAATTATTTTTTTTGGATCTGACATACGAAAACTAATTCCTAGGTACCTCTAGAAAGTACTTACCAAATCTGAGCTCTTAATATTAACGGGAAGATTATGCTCATCATAGTTTTCCATTTTCAATTTAGTCTCATATAAAAATAATCATATCTTATCACCAATAGATCGTTAAACCAGTTGCATCGTCAATATTTATAGCAAATTGAACGCTATACAAAAATGGTCTGCTATACTCTTTTCATTAATCTAACCATTTAAAAGATATTCAAGGTCAAAGATTGAAGTATTTTAAGGAGAATAACCTTTTCTTTTGAATTTTGTAACTAACTAAAAAATAATTATTGTCAAATGAGCTTCAATTATTTCCATAGCGAATTGAACGCTCTACAAAAAAGGTCTTATTTAATCGATTACTCTAACCATTTAGAAGATATTCGCAGAACTCCAATGCTTACTGATTTTAATAGTTTTTTATTAAATATTTCCAAAAAATAAAACTTTTGACTGCCATTCACCTGG